GGCGGGACGGGTATAATGCGGGAAAATACAGAAAGTACAGAAAAACATAAAGTACAAGAAATACGCCAAGTAAATGCGAAAGTAAGCGTGGTTCAGAAAGTACAAGAAGTACAAGACAATCAGGAAGTGCGGGGAAGTGTGGTGAGAGTGAAATGTGCGGGGAGTACTAGAATCGGAGAGAAGAGAAATTCTCGATTTTGGAGATGAGCCGTCAGCCCGGTGGGAGGGCAGGGGAGTGGGCGGGGCTGAGTGGGGGCTTCGAAGGCGAGTGGGCGGCGCAGGGCGGATCGGAGCTGCACGCTCCCCTACAAGAGAAGGTGTAGACGGGCTCACGCAACTTGCCGCCCTGTCGGTGCGCGCCCAGAATAGAGGCGAACGAGCAGAAGAAGGCGCTCGCGTCGACCCCAGGATCTTCACGCAAGGCCTGAGGAGCAGTTTGCCTTTTAGATACTACGAATGTGCGCCAAAAATTCCAATACTTCAGAGGATTTACGATCCATTTTATATTTATGGTTTGCATCGTGGTTAAACGTACAGAACTGCGACATGCGTTCAATTCAAATTATGTTATGTGATCACACACGTTTTTCGACGATAATCCATGTTATTGGCTTCTTCATTTGTATGTGTCCTTGATAATACATTGTTATAGCAGAATTATATCAACGAAGAAGCTTTCTACGTTTTCACCAAAGTGTATTTCGAATCTCATTTTTAGGAACACTTATTTTAATAAAACCCGCTATTAATTTACGTATTGCCTGAAGTGGCGTGGAAATACCAATATAATGTCTTCAATAGCTTCAATCTTTGAAGATAGATAGGAACGGAAAACATAACCGTGAAGACATAGGGAAATGCATGGGAAGGGTAATGTGTAGAAGTGACCAGTAGATATTTACAAAAAATGATTCAGATTCTGTGTTTAATTTCATTAAGGGTGATAGATGTTTTTTTTTTCTTCGAAGAATCATGTCTTTGAAAAAATTAGTTTGAAAAAGTCACATCGTGGCGCGAAATGCAAATTGGCTGCCGGGCCTCCGAAATCACTCTCTTGTTCTACCTCGAATCTCGTGTTATCGGTGAAACTGTCGAGAAACGAATTGTGAGAATTCTGATTGTTGACGTAATTACATGAAGAAATCAACTCCGATAATTAAATATATTTATTTAGAGAACCGGGTTTTAACGGATGAATATAAATAATACAAACATTTAAAATTATAATTATTACAGACCAATAGTAAATGAAATGAAAAAATATGAAATACAAAAAAAGAAAATACATAACGATATTGCAACAGATACATCAAAAGTGAAATATTAATAAAACAATAACAAATGGTATTAGAAAAGTGGAAAAGAATAAGTTAAGGCGCGTTGCTTTCCTTGCTGTGTGTGGTAACAGTCGGGAGACTGCGCAGCAGGAATATAAAAAATGTAGGAGGGCTGTTTTGTGTCTTCTTGGAAATGTGTCGGGAGGCAGGGTGGGGGAGTCATTTTGTGGGGGAGGGTTGTGTAAAATTATTAGCTGAGGATACTGGGAAATTAATTTGCTCGTTGGGAAGAGCTTTAGATTTCTCTTTAGATTAAAAAATGTGAAATATTTCTAAACTTTTTCTCGAATTATGTCAATTTCCAAGACTTTTAGTGTAATTTGGGGTGGAAAGTGTGGCCAGTGTTCCTTGTGTTTCCATGCATGTGAATGTTCATTAACTATAGCATTGAAACGTCTGCCAGCCTGACCTATGTATTTAGCTTCACAACTGTGGCAGTTGAGTTCATAAACGTCTTACTTCGCCATGAGTGGGGTGATGTTGTGAGAAGAGACTAGGTGTTTGAGGGATTTGTGTGTGGCAAAGGAAACGTGAACATTGTATTTGTGAAGCATATGAGCTATCATTTGTGAATGTTTCCAAAGAACGGAATACAAATAAATTTTGACGGTTTCTGAATGAGTGGGGTGAGGCTTGTGTACGTGTTCCTCACTTACAACTAACATTAATGACTTAATTTGTGGAAAGATAGTCAAAGTGTTTTTCATGAAGTAGCAACCTCGCGTAATCAGCACTTACAGGTCGCAAATAGTGCAGAGAAAACGAACTGCGGCTTGCTACGACAAAGTTCATCGACAAGTTAGCTCGAAACAGTTGTGCGAAATCGGCGGTAAAGTTAATTCACTTTCGGAGAAGGCGAGGTTATCGCGTTTGATTTAGGTCGACCGAAGATTGGAGATAGCGGCTATGGGCAGGGGCACGCGATGCCCAACATACTCCTCCGTGAGAGATAAATCAGCAACTTTTGCGCATTCAAAGAGAAAAAACATAACCACAACATTCTTGTTAATAGTATCGGGGAAGGTTTCACAAACTGTTACTGTTACTATATTACGCCACGATATAGAGGACCCGTATGTCTACCATAGAGCAACACGTGTCATAGAGTTTCCTCCATTAATTCGTTTGTGGGTCTGGGGAACAATTTAGATAGTTTAAGAAGATGGGAAAAGGAATCACAAGCAAATGGTATTGTCACGTAAGAATACGTTGCTTTTTATTAAAACGCTTGAATGTATATCCTTACAATCACATTCTACAATATATACATATATATATATATATATATATATATATATATATATATATATATATTTGTGTGTGTGTGTGTGTGTGGTGTGTGTGTGGTGTGTGTGGTGTGTGTGTGTGTGTGTGTGTGTGTGTGTGTGAGAGAGAGAGAGAGTTGAATCACGGTGAATCTCAGTTTGTAGGTGACATTAACAAGAAATCCGTTTGATAATCTGCACATACATCAATATTAAAATTCTTATTAACTAATCGAGTTCCTGTTGGGTATTAAGGTTTGTGGGAAGGTCATTATTAATTCCAAGCTGATGCTTAAGAACTTTGTTTTGTTTTAGGAGCCGATACATCGACCTAAGAGATATAGAAAGGAAGAGGCTAAATGCGATTACAAGAGACAGCCAAATCTATCAGATGCACGAGAAGGCGTGGCTGCGGCAGAAAACTAAAGAAGAAGATTCCTTCTGGGAAGAAGTGATCAAGAAGAACCAAGCTGCTATGGTGAGTGAGCACGACTGTTCTCTTATTTTAAATATTGCAACCGTTTTTTTATTTTAAATATTGCATTACACGTCTTATACATACTATTACCTATTCTTCCATCTTATCAATAGTTGAATGTATACAAATGCACAAATTTCAGATAAAGAGAAAAAAAACTATATCGAATTTATAAAGAGTTTGTTAGACTAGTTACAACTCTTTCTGTGATTGGTAAGAGGAAAAAAGAAAATAAAGTCACCCATTTATTATATCAGGATGTAACTTATATGATGAATATACCATTTATGATCCAAGCTGAAAGTAGATATATAAAGTTTGATTCATCAGAAACCTTTCAGGGAAAGAAATGTCACCAAATTGAGAGCGTAGGAGATATGTTTGTTCAATTAGAAAGTGGAAACAAAGTCAACGATTTTGAAGAACGAAAATATGAAGAAACTTATTACACATTCAAACCTCATAAAATCACCTATATTTGCAATGAATCCCTGATATGATTCGACAGAATGTTAGTCTTTATGCGTTGATCCAAAATGTGAAAAGGGTGTTCACCTTCAGGGTGCATAGCTATTGTTCTTGTTGGAGATGATTTTTGTACATTTTTGGAGGGTTTTCTATCTAAAGCTGAAGTGAAAACACTGAAAAGTCATACTTTGATTTTTAAGCAATGTTATATTTTCTGTTGCAAAAAATATATTCATTTAAAATTATTAATGTTTATCTGCGTTTAGAAGTAATGTGCGTGCTTTAGAAAATATAAGTACTTCAACATCGATATCTACGATCAGCCTTCCTTCAAATTAAGGACGTATATCTACGAGTCTCTCGCAGGTGTATATAATTAACTTTAACTGGTCTTTAAATAGTGGCGCTTTTTTTCACATTTCCCAGTGTCTGCATTCAGTTTCATTTGAAGCCTTTTATGAGTGAGCTTAACGATGAGAAGAGGCGAAGAACTGGTACTTAAATATTGTTGCCCTTCATGATACTCAAAAGTACTGAAACTTCGATACCTAGAAAGATATAGCATTTAATACTGTATTGACGTAGATCGTTCAAGAATACAACTTTCAAAGCTGTTTTTGCTACAAGAATATCTTAATGAGATGTAAAAATAATACAAGGCCCATAGATAGATGTTTTAGCAAGAAATACTATTTTACATTTACAATAGATTTTTTCTTTATAAAAACAAAGCATTAATGCGTGTACGTTTATGTATAACCCTACCTTTGTACTTTTGTATACTAGATACACTTTTCACGCATGAATAACAATTTGTTTCACAAATACTGCTGTGAAATTAGGACAGAACGTTGATAAAGGCTCGGCCTGCGGCTAAACGACCATTTGAGTATCAACTTTACTTGAGTATCAGGCCTCTATTTTGACGGTATATAAACAATAACCTATTTCAGCACCCAAGCATGGAAATTAGCACTTATCTTCACAGTTTGTTGCTTGAAAAAGTAGAATTGTTCGTATCCGTGCGGTAAAGAAGTCATGGCTACATAAACGAAATGAGTTCTGCAAATCAAGCAAAGCAGAAAGGCAACATGGAACACAAAGGCTGCCACCTCGCATATTCAAAATTACCACAAAATTATTTATTTCATGTTTCCATGAATTCGTGCTAATAAACTTTTGTGCGCAACTCGTACAAAAGTGTGTTTGGTGCTCTCATTTCGAAATGTCGATCTCGGATCCATCTTTACCTCATCCGTCAACATTTTATTCGTAAGCCGAAGACTCACTTTTTGCCCTAGTTATGTAACTACCGTAACTATTCACACGTATAATATTGAATTTCTAAATAATAGTTGAGGTTTAGTTTAACTAGTTAAGACGGCACTCTTCTCCAAGAGTATGAATTTACTTTTAAGTTGAGGCATACAATTGAAAAAAAACAACATACGAGTAATAAAAAAGAGTTAATAGCAGAAGTCCTATAGAATAGGAGTTGACACTTGTGTATTTACTAGTTGACTTACCCTCGTACATTCATATTCCTGAGTATAATACTCGTGTGTGTGTATGACCGAATGAATGAGTGTGCTAGCGAGTGGAGGCTGCCCTTTGGATGCGCAAGAGATTCTGTACAGTCAATCTAAAGGTGATTAGAACGAATGAGCAGGTACGTATTGATTTAGCACATGTACATTATCTGAACGTCTGTGCGTCTCTGTGAAGTGTGTGTGTAGAGTGTGTGTGTGTAGAGAGTGTGTGTGCGTGTGTGGTGTTGTGCATGTGTGGTGTTGTGCGTGTGAGGTGTGGTGCGTGTGTGTGGTCTGTGTGAAGAGGGGTGTGTGAAGTGTGTGGGCTATGTGTGAGGCGGAGCGCGAAGAGCAGGAGGGGCGCGCGGTAAAGTCAAGCACCCTGTGTACGTGTGTGGTGTGTGGAGGTGTCCGTGTGTGGTACGTGTGAGGTGATGTGCTTGTATGGTGTGTGTGGTGTGTGTGGCGTGAGAGGAGCTGCCGCGAGGACGCGCGTGCGCAGGCGGAGCGCGAAGAGCAGGAGGAGCGCGCGGTCAAGTCGCGCGCCCTGGAGACTGCGCGCGCGCACCGCGAGGCCATGGAGGCTGCGCGCCGCGGGGCGGCGGACGAGCGCCTGCGCGCGCAGAAGGAGGCGGCCGCGCTGCACGCGCTCATCGCGGAGATGGACAAGCAGGAGGACGAGAGCGGTGAGCGCGCGCCGTCGCACGGCCGATGCACGCACACGCACACGGACACGGACACGGACACGCACACGCACACGCACACGCACACGCACACGGACACGGACACGGACACGGACACGGACGGGTAGAGCGTGGAATCGTATAAGCTGGCGAAGGTCTCAGTGCTAATGTGGCGACAGGTTGAATGAAAAGAATGAGAATAGGGGAGGGGGGTCGAGACAGAGCTCTCACGACTGAAGGGAGCAAACATTTTAGTGGGATGAAGTCTAGTCAGAAACGGGGGCAGCGGCTAAGTATATTTCACTGTCAGCATTGCCGTTTTCTCTTCTTTCCACACGGTCCTAGTAATATTCGACACTAACTAGAGAGGTACATCGAGTTCAGTCAGTGACGGGAGGAGAATTCAAGCGGCCGGGTGCTCGTAGGGTAGTTTTTCCTATCAACACCAGGGTTGAATGCAAGAGCAGTACCTTAGCAAACGAACCAAGGACCTTTTGCGATCATTCCTTCCCTCCTTTTCCTTGTTTTATTCTCCTCTCACTTTCATACGCTACATTACCCCACATGTCGGGAGACCCGCAAGGGCTAAGAGCGTGTCCGGTTGAGCTGTGGCAGTTCCCCGCTGGGGAGATACCTGAATACGAGTGTAATATTGCGACTTCAGAATGACCAAACTGAGAAGATTCTGCCCGAAATGGAGAATATTCTACAGGAAACGTTTTGAGAGTTTGAAGTGTCTAATAATTATGACTCTTTGTTGAAGGGTTTCTTCATGCCTGATTTGAAAATTATTTTAACATATCATAGGTCTGCAAGAAGAGTTTGAACTTATCGAATACGATAAAAAATAGTGTTTACCAAAACCACCAGAAAGAACCTTGTCACTCTGTGTTCACAATAGGGGTTCGTATGGCAAATAACATATTTGCATCCTTCCTCGAAGAGTAAATATTTTGAAAAAAGGAAAGAAAAAAGGAGGGTCGGTGCAACACCACCGCAGCTTTGTGCTTTAAATGATCTCTTATAAAGTTTTCACGCAAACCCAAAACGTTTTGGTGTAAAGGAGCTCAAATTTCCGAAACATTTTCAGAAACACTCAAAGTCCACTTTCTCGCAAACGACACCAAATTTGTTTTTCAAAATTTCTCGAACGGATGGTGCTAATTTCACTGTTTAATACGTTTAATATCTTTAATCACTGTCAATTAATTTCGCTGATTTCTTTTGTTTTTTTTCAAAAACTGCATGTAATTTGCAAATGTAATTTTTTTAAAGGTCTTTCCGTTGTTAATATGGACATTTCCAGCAATTTGTATTCAATATTAAATTTGAGAGAGAATTTCTTGAAATAAAGTTTTTCGAAAATACAAAAGATTCCTGTGAAAAGGAGCTCCAGATTTACCATTTACACAAGAGATTAAATGATATTTCCTTAAAAACGGCTCCAAATTTTTCAACGAAAATTTCCATATTGGATAAACCTTTACTTTTCTTTAATATTCTAAAAGTAATATTTCGAATCTACCATTGCGAAACCAAAAAATTGAGAAAAGTTTAAAATAATGTATTTATGGCAGCGATAGATTACAGCCAATAAGAGGTAGGGGGTAAGACCGTATATCTAGCCCCCATCAAAAAAATTAGAAATCTTTACCACTAGAAAGTCTCTGAAATTATCAAGCAGAACTGATTCTAATTTTCTGTTCTAACGAAAGTCATTCAACGTACCAACGATTTATATGAAAAACAAACTATAAATCAAAAAATTAAAATACAGTAATTTTGAGCACGAGGGGTATAAGAAAACATCAAGTCGGCTGGAAACTATACTTTCAGCCTTGCCCCCCCCCGCCTATCGGCGGGCACCTCGTGCGTGACGCAGGCACGAGGCCCGCAAAT